AACCCGGCGGGCCCTGCGCCAGCCTCATCCTGGGTTCTGGGGGAACCCCGACCCCACCAGCCCAACAAGGGCAGCCTCCCCAGCAGCTCCACCTGGGGAGGGGGTCCTGCTGGGCTGCCCACCCAGCCCCATGGGCCCAATGGGATCCGGCGCGGCAGGCGGGCATCCATGCCGGTGTGTGCAGCCGGAGCGCTTGGCACAGCGTCTCTCTGCAAGCTGCCTTGAGAAACGGCGCTGGCTCCAAGTGCCTGGGACTCCTGATGATTTTGCTAAGTGTATAAACATACCATTAGCGCGCTCCTCTCCCCAAAACAGGGTTTGGCAGGCTTTGGGACCAGCCCGTTATTTTTAAAGTCTTTTAGAAGAAATGCCCTTGCCTTTCGTTTGTGGTGAGGGTAGGAGATTTCTACCATCAGCAAACAGCCAAGATTTGAACATAACCACTTTTCAAAGAGAGGCAGGTGTGAGAAAATGGAAGTGCAGCTTCTGAGAAGCCAAAGCCAGGGTACCAACGTAGCCATTAAGGCAGCTTCTGCATTAGCAAGGCTACAGCCGCAATAGCGGCTGGGGTTGTCTTACACACACAGGGGGAAGAAGTGGGTGAGGGCCAGAGAAATACCTCCGTACTGTTATCCTCTGAGCCTGTTAGACATGGCCCACGAAGACAAAGTGCTTGGAAAAGAAAGCAACACCCTTTGGTAGATACTAAATGCTAAATCCTTGAGGGGGTGAGGAAGCCCATCGGCACTGCCCAGCTTTGCACCGAGCTCCACATGCAAGGGATGCATCAAGGGAGCGGAAAAGTAGTTTCTGCTGCCATCCTTCCTGGGCACCCAGCCAGGGACAGGAGAAGAGGTGACAAGTGTATAAAATTACTTAGAAATGTATAATCGTGGCAGTTTGGGGGTTGGTTTCAGTACAATTGCAATGAGTTTAAAATTCTTCTCTTTGGTTAGATGGGGAGATTTAGCTGTCATTCTTGTAACAGCTAATCAAACCGATCAGACAAGCTAGCAATCAAGCAGACATCTACCCCAGCTCTTCCAGGAAGAAACTGAAAATCTTGAAAACAAACCTTTCCTTTGGGTCCACTAAAATGAGGGTTTCATTTTTTCACTTTAGTTCACGAACCGGCATCCTCTTCTAAGTGCCTTTAATTAATTACCAGTCTTGACAGAGGCTTGTGTTCTCAGTTGCCCAAAGTAAGAAGAGTCCAGCTCATCCCACTTCATAAAACCATTTGTACAGGTCACAAGAAACGCAGGAGGAGAAGGCTGGTGCGGCCCCACTTGCGCGTCTTTGGATGCCACCCAGAGGTCATGCTGGAAACTGGTGTGCTGAGACAGAGGCAACTGCAGCCTCAGGGTGAAGGACGGGTATTTTGAAAATGAGCCTTCACTGGAGGGCAAAAATAAGGCAATCTCCCGCTTGAGGGTAGGAGGGGGAATGAAAATGGTTAAGGGTGTGAAGATACCTACAACACAGACATACAGCAACACGTACAAGCCAGAAGATGTCGACACCGCTCACCCTCGCCTCAGACACCCTGGCTATTTTCTGCTGTGCCCCAGCCTATATCAGGCATCCCTTCTTTCCCCATCTTCTGCTCTCTCCATCCCACCACCTCTCTCTTCTGCCCCAGACACCCTCTCTGAGCTCGCCAGGACAGCCTGGTGCTGCCTTTGCCTCCCAGAGCTGGGAGCAGGCCAAGGATGTTATGAATTCACCAAGTTCCAGAGTAGCTGACCAAGCTGTGTGTCGTGCCTGCATAGGCGCTGGGGATAGATCCTGCTGTTTGCCTTTGGGATGGAGAGCACCCTTGCTGTGTGAGGAGGGTCCTCAGGCAGCCCCAGCTCTGCCTGCACCCCCAGGATGTGCCTGAGGACGGAGGGAGCACTTGGGAGAGCTGCGGTGCTGTGATGGACTCATCAGTGTGACTCCAACTCCACTCTCATGCCAGCTCCATCATCGCCACCAAGGCTGTGAAGCTCCCAGACACCAAGGGACCTCTCCAGACCCTGTGGTGTTCCCACTAAATGCCTCCCCCATGCCTCCCAGTGCCCCTCTCTCCTCCTGCACCTCCAGGAGCACATTTCTTCTCCCCTGTCCCTCATGACCCAGTCCCACATCACTGTCATTGTCTCCATCCTCCTCTGCCCCCCGCCTCCATGCCAGCACCACAGCCAGGGAGGAGATGCAGCATTGGCAAAGCCCAGAGGCCACTTCAGAAGGACTCCTGGGGCCGAGGCCCCTACCTGTGACACCAGTTGGCTCTTCTCCCTGCACATGCAGTGCCTTGTTTGTGGTGCTCAGCGTGTGCTGTCCCAAACCTGCTCTCACCAGCCAGCTGCAGCAAACTCCATCACTGGCCTCCTCCTTCCCTAGGACTTCTGACAGTGATTTATGGCTGGTTTTCTCCTCTCCATCGAAGCCATTAGGAGGCTCCCACTCCTCACTGGTAGCATCTTTTGGTCTAAGGGTTTCTGTGGCCCCTGAAGCACTCAGCAAGTGAGTCCTCAAGGCAGGGAAATGCCTCTCCCTTCCCACCCAACGTCTTGCATGTTATGGATGAAGAGACAAGGCACAGGCAGACGCAGATCCAAGTGGAGACGGTTGTAATTTGGATGCGGTCCACCTTTTTTGGGCAGCGCTTGGCACAGCAAGGTCCCCATCACTGCCTGAGATCATGGGTGCCATCACTGTTGGGCAAGGAGACGGCTCCAGAGCAAGAGAGCAAAGCCAGTCCTGCCCACCCCTCCTTGGTCACAGAGTGACATCGGAAGGCACAGGGGACAGCTCCTGCTATTTCCTTGCCGCATACCTTGTGTGCCACTCCAGCAAACCTTCCCAGCCTGTCAGCTCCTGCAAAGTGCCTTGAAGCCCACCGCCAGGTAGGAAAGGAGAAAGCCTTGTCACAGAATGCTGATAGTCATCTCATACCCATAAAGTCTGTACTGGCTGGAGGTGGGTGCTCCCTTGGGTGCAGCTAGTGATGGAGCACTCAACCTGAATGGGACGGAGGGTCTTGCTCCCTCCTGCCCTCCCCACCGCTCCCTGCAGGGCAGGAGCTGCCACCTTCCCCACCGGCACAGCAAAGGCAGCGGGAGAGGCTGATATTTACACATGCCCATGTAATGGTGGCTCCTCAAGCTGAGGGATGAGCTCCTGGAGCAAGCAGACCCACTGCCCCAGTATCCCCTGCCTCTGCTCCCTATTGTGCACAGCCTCCCCGTGCCCTTCCACGGCCCCCAGTCCCTCACGCCACCACCAGCTGCCCTCTCCCTGCTCTGTCACTGTCTCCATCCCAGCCCCATCCTCATCCTCGGGGCTGGGGCCATGGGGGCAGGCAGGGATAGAGTCACAGCTAGTCCACGTGTGTCTTGAAGAGAGGTCTCTATGAAAGAGCAGGGCTGTGCATGC